ACGGCAGCAGCAGCAGCAGCGGCAGCTGCAGCAGCAGCAGCAGCAGCAGCAGTGCCCCCCCGATATCTGCGAGGACAGCAGCAGTATCTACACTGATCAAAGCAGCAGCAACACCAAATCTGCTTCGTTACAGCGGTGCGGTGTTTGCTGCCTGGGGCTTGCTGCTGCTGCTGCGCAACAGCAGCCGCAGCAGCAGCAGCAGCAGCAGCTGCAGCAGCAGTTGCAGCAGCAACCACAGCGGAAGCAGCAGCATCCGCTTCACCAGGGCGTTTATACAACCCCTAACAGCACTAGAAGCTGTAATGCCTTGCTGCTGAGCAGCAACACAAGCAGCAGCAGCAGCAGCAGCAGCAGCAGCAGCAGCAGCAACAGCAGCAGCAACTGAAGCTGCAGGTGCTGCAGCTACTCCATCTACTGTTGCTGCTTCTGTTGCTCTTCTAAGGCAGCGGAAATACCAGTGATATATTATCTGCTGCATAGCAGCAACAGTAACAACAACAACAGCAGCAGCAGCAGCAGCAGCAGCAGCAGCAGCGGCAGCAGCAGCAGGAGCAAGAGCGGCAGCTGCAGCAGCAACAGCAGCAGCAACAGCAGCAGCAGCAAGTGCTGGTTGCTGTTGTATTTTGTGTATCTTTGAACGTCATATAGAGTCGCGGGGTGTATAGGAGCAGCAAAAACACAGAGGCTCCTGCTTCTGCTGCTGCTGCTGCTGCTGCTGCTGCTGCTGACACAGGCAGCCTGCCACCATGTCTGCTGCAGACACAGACACGGCCCCCCACACCACGGGGTTGCTGAAGCTGCAGCAGCAGCAGCAGCAGCAGCAGCAGCAGCAGCAACAGGGCCAGGAATCTGCGGCGGACAAATGCACCCCGCAGCAGCCGAATGCTGCTGCTAGCAGCAGCAGCAGCAACAGCAGCAGCAGCAGCACCAGCAGCAGCAGCAGCAGCAGCAGCAGCGCCTCAACCCCAGACTGCAAACAGCAGCAGCAGCAGCAGCAGCAG